TTCTGGTGTTTCCCTTCTTCTCAAAGCTACCCATAAAGTTTGTTGTGGTCCACCCAGTTGAATGCCTTTGCATAGTCACTAAAACACAAGTAAACATTTTTTTATGATATCCTCTACTTTAAGCCAAGAACCATCTGACGTCAGCAACGATATCCCTTGTTCCACATCCTCTTTTTCATCTGGCTTGAATTTCTGGAAGCTCCCTGTCAATGTATTACTGCAACCATTGGTGAATGATTTTCAGTAAAAGTTTACTTGCATGTAATATTAATGGTATTGTTCTATAATTTCAGCATTCTTTGGGGCACCTTTATTTACAGTGGGTCACTTCCAGTCAGTTAGCTAGTATGTTAGGCTGGGTTGACTAGATAAACAAATCCAGTGATGCTCATCTATGTGTAAGAATGAGCTTTATATGAAGAAGCAATTTTACACCAAGAAGGCAGCCCAGCCCAGTCCAACTCAAGTCCATAAGTCCGAGACTAGTGCCTAAGACCCTCTTCAGACTCATGCAACCACTTGCTGGTGACACAGAATGGTGAACTTGGAAGCAAAAAGGATACAGGCCGGAGCATGCAGTCATGTGAATCCAAAGTTGGTAGAGACATGGCAGGGCAGCAACAGCTCTCAAAGTTGGTAGCAAAGTCCCAGCAAGTAGGAAGGTGAATGAGCAGAGAAAGAGGTTGTCTCTGTTCACCTTGCTCTTACACAAAAGGCTCATGACATCAAGGGGGTGTCATCAGACTTCGACTTGATTGATAGGTTCAACTCCACTCCTGCCCAAGGCTGTCTAGTTGTCATAATCCCTAGCTACTACAGCCAGGTATCTCTTTTTCAAATTCCTTGACAGAGGAGACAGAGTGCTTTCAGTGCTTCATTAGCTTGTTGAAACACTTCAGTTGATAGTCCACTAATTCTTGGAGCTTTGTGTTTGGCTAATGCTTTCAATACCATTGGTTCTTCTTCCAGTACCATTGGCTCTTGCTCATATGCTCTCTCCTGAAATGGTGGAATGTCAAGGAATTCTTTTTGGTACAGTGACTTTGTGTCCTCTTTCCATCTTCTCTTGATGCTTTCTGCATCATTAAATAGAATCTTTCAATATTAGAACAGAAGCCTTGAATTTTTTTTTCTTCAGTTCTTTCAGAATAAGATATGCTAAGAATGTTATTCTATTTTGGATTTCTAACTCTGTGTCTTTACCCATTTCATTATAATATTTTACTTTTTCTTCTCAAACTGCCTTTTGAAATTTTCTACTCAGCTATTTGATTTCATCATCTCTTCCATTTGTCCTAGCTACTTACTCTATAATTAAGAACAAGTTTCAGGATCTCTTCTGACATCCACTTTAGTCTTTTTTTCTTTATTGTCTTTTAAAAATCATTTTATTGGGGATTCATACAACTCTTATCACAATCCATATGTACATCCATTGTGTCAAGCACATCTTTATGGTCTTTTTAATGACCTTTGTTTTCTCCATATATGATGTTTTTGATGTCGTCCTACAGCTCATTAGGTCTTCTGTCATTAGTGTTCAAGGTGTCAAATATGTTCTTTAGATATTCTGGAAATTCGAATGAGATAGACTCAAGGTTGAGTTTTGGCTCTTTTGACTTCTTACTTTCTTCAGCTTCCACCTGACTTACATGTGAGAAATTAATGATCTATTCCACAATTGGCCCCTGACCTGGTGTTAGCTGCTGATATTGAGCATCACCATTCTCTCTTCCCACAGATGTAACCAATGCAATTTCTGTGTATTCCATGTGGAGAAGTTTACATACACAGCCACCATTTATGTTGTTGAAAAAAGTTATTTGTGATGAAGAAGTTGTTGGTTTTGAAAAATTTTTATCATGCAATCTCCTGTTTCTTTTCTCTCACCAAGGCCATAGTTTCCAACTACTATTCCTTCCCCTTTTGTTTCCACCTTTTGTATTCCAATCTCCAGTAATTACCAACGCATTTTGATTGCATATTTGATCAATTTCCAACTAAAAGAGTGGATAGAATATTTCAATTTCTTCATCACTAACTTTCGTGGTTGGTTTGTGTGTTAGTCCAGGTAGACTAGAGAAACGAATCCAGGGAGACTCATATGTGTATAAAAAAGAGCTTTATATACAAGAGCAGTGGAATATTGAGAAAACATCCCAGTGCAGTCCAGATCAAGTTCATAAGTCTGATATTAGCCCATATGTACAATACCAATCTATAAATTCCCCTTCAGACTCATACAACACATGCCAAATGCAGGAAGATCACAGGCCAGTGGGTGGAAGGTCTTATGGATTCAGTGATGGTAGAAGCATCTCTGTACTGGCAGGGGTCTCCACGTGTCTCCTCCGGCTCCAGAGCTCTAGTGTAGCTCCATGCATCTTGTCAACAGAAATGTCTCACAGAGAGTGAGCCTGGGTCCTGCCTCCAGCAAGCTATTTATCTCCTTAGTGCCTCTAAATGAGTTCATCAAGCTGCAACCTGATTGATGGGGTAAACTACACCCTTTCACTCTTAAGCCTCTCAAATTGACAACAGATTATATAAAGACCACAATTTGTAAATATGAATAATAGTTATTTTGAATGGATTTTCTTGTATGCAGATAGATATGCTATCACAGACAGTATTATACTTCAAATAGATCTTCTCATGTCCTTTTGATGATGAGTGACTCAATTCTTCTTGAATTTGTCAAACCCAGTAGAGTAAACCATATGATCATCTGATTCAGAATGACCAATGCCAATCCATTTCAACTCACTAATGCCGAGAATATTGATTTTTGTGTGCTCCATTTCAATTTTGATTACGTACAATTTTCCTAGATTCATGCTTTATATATTCCATGTTCTAATTATTAGATTTTTACAGCTGTTTCTTTTCATTTTGATTCATGCCCCATCAGCAAATGAAGATCCCAATAGCTTTACTCCATCCTTGTCATGATTATAGTCAACATTACTTTGAGAGGGCAGCTCTTCCTCATTCACATTTTGACTCAGAGCGGGCTCTAGGGAAGAAACATCACCTGGTAGAAGAGAAGCAGCCACTGCTAGACACTAGTTTCTCCTCTCTTCACCAACCTCCTGCCAGTGATGCCCACTAGTAGGCCAGACAGTACAGATCAGGTAAAGAAGCTCAGAGATTGCATCTGAAGAATAGAAAGGAAGGAGCATACTTTCTTTCTTTCAAAGGTAGAAACCGAGTCATTGAAAGACAAAGCAGCATAATTCAGGAAAAATCCAGACCCGGAAAAAGGCCCCACTTTTCACTCTGCTCTGACTTTGAATCGCCTGAAAGCTGTGGAGAATCACACAGTCCAAGCCCTTCAGGCTCCTCCTTAACAAAAGGTGTCAACAGGGCCCACTTTTCTTCAGAAGTGGTGAAGATGCACGTGTCAAGGATGACTCAGTCTTCTGCCTGGACTTACCAGAGAGGTTTTAATGAATCACTCATGTGGGTGCAGGTTTGGGTAGGTATTACTATTATTTCAGTGAACTCAATCTGCCCCTCCTATAGAGTGTGTCTCTATTTGATTCATAAAGGTGACTCAGCTGAGGAAGTTGACCTGAGCATGGTTTACCAAGCAGCATCCAATGGAGATGTCAATGCTCTGACTGCAGTGATTCGGGAAGACCCTTCAATCCTAGAATGCTGTGACAGCGAAGGTGAGATACCCTGCAGAGTGTTTATCCTTCAGAGATGGCCTTCAAAGATGAGTGATGCCAAATAAAAGTTTATCTTGCAAGCCACTTTCATACTGGATGCTTAAACAGTCTTGCAAGATAAAGAGTTATCTGCCTGTGGCTAAGTCTGGATAACTCCACATTTTTAAAAATGAGAGTCGTGGGCACAAATCTTCATATTCTTTTATATCACCTCTTATAATGAAGCCAGTCACTTTAAATAGTTTGTTTCCAACTTCTATGATTAAATAGGTAGACCGAGTAGTTATAAAAATGATGTGTGACTATTAAAGTCAAAGAGTAAGGAATTAAGATTCCAGGCAGAGGGAGTAGACATTCTTCACTCATCCCAATTAAAACAGCTGGAAATAATACATAAAATAAACATACGAAGAGTCTGGAAGGTAGACCAGAAAAGGATGACTGACTAGGATCTCAGGACCTAAGGATAACATGAGAAGTTCCCTGGGTTTTCTTCTTGCCTCATAGGTTACAGACTTGAAGTTGAGGAAGCCAGCAACCCAGAAATGCCAACAAACCCCCCGCTAAGACTGCTCTCGCTAGTCAATAGAACGTGAAAGGGGGAGCTTCGCAAGACAGAAAACTCTCAGATAATAACCGTTCTACCCCAGCCAAAGAATATAAAGCAAACCCATGCCCCACCCCACGCACATCAGTGAAGACCAAGTTGGGAGCCTCCATCTCCACACCACTTGGTGTTAATGAGGTATCTCTTGTGCTCCCCACTGGGTGGGTGCTATCAGAGGACGCCTTGTCAAGTTAGGACTTTTTACACCACTCCGAAGTTACAAGGGGACACTCTGCACCTGGTGTAAGTGGAAACTGTGTGAGGGAACAATGAAAAGGTGCTTTCACTCTATAAATCAAAGAGGTGTCATCAAGAGGGCTTAAGAATTGTTAACAATATAGAAAGCTGCATTAGCGAGAAAAAGGCCAAGAAATTTGCCCCAAGGAATCTTTTCCCATCACGATAAAGCATCTGCTGATTCTTTAAGGATAGAAAGGGCTACCCTATGAGAATTTTGTTGGGAAACCTTAACCTATCCACCCTACAACCTTGATTATGCCCTTTTAGGATGCTTTTTGCACCTAAAACTCAAAGAACATTCCAAGGAGAATGATTTGAGTTTCCTGAGGATACCAAGACTGCTGTTTAGACATGATATAAGTAGAATAGAATTCTTCAGGGAACTCTCTGTGGGAAGAGCTCGAGAGATGGGAACGTGGCTTTTAAAAGTGTGCAGACCTGGATGGAGGACATAGCAAGAAACAATAGTTTCACATTTGATACTTCCATTTAATAAAGTTTGATATCATTTTATAGCAGTACTTTTTTACTTACTCTCATTCACACAATCATGGGGATTCCCAATAAATTTAACCTGGTGGTTTACTTGCCTTTAGTCACATATTAACTGGTTTGTTCTTATTTACAAAATAAGAAGAATGGATGTTTCTAATAAATCAATAATTGAAAAATTAAGAAGATTGAATAAGAGCAGAAATTTTCATTTATATAAAATACAATATTCTTATTTTATTTAACAACATAACATGAAGAACAAAAAATATCTTCATCTCTCTTAAGACCCACACAGCACAACTCAACAGCACAACTCAGTGGTTCATTTTTCTGCAAAAAGCAGGCAAATAAAGTCTACTCATAAATTTAACACGCCAAATGTTTTTTAAAGGCTGTTGAAATGTTTCATTCCAGGGTGCACGCCCTTGATGCATGCGGTTTCCGGACGTCAAGTGGACACAGTGAAGCTGCTGTTGAAGATGGGAGCCAATATCAACATGCAGGACACGCATGGCCGCACGAGCTTATGCTTGGCAACCTACCTGGTACCAATTTGTGTTTCTCAGGGATTAAGGAGGGAATGTGTTTATAGTCTCTTTCATCAACTGGTAAAGAAAGTCAGCTTGTAGACCAGGACTCCTGGTGGCCGTGTCGAGTAAGGCATGCACTGCTAACTACAAGGGTTGTGGTTCAAACCCACCAGACTCTCCATCAGGAAAATGGAGGCTATCGGCTCACCTAAAGATTTCTAGCCTCAGAAACACCTCCATGGTAGTGGTTTGGGGCTTGTAGACCATCATGATGCCCTAGTATATTCTGTGGCTCCCCTCAGTAAGACCTTGTCCCTGGTTCTCCGGAGGCATATTGGGAAGGGGGTCAATGTCACAGGGACGTAAAGCTCATCACTCCCTCTTTGCAACGTTAGAGTGAAGTATTAAAGGGAAGTTTGGCAAAACAGGCATTTCAAAATTAGGTCTCAGTCAAAGCCAGCTCAGTTACAAATAACAGTATTGTAGATGTGTGGTGTTCAACAAATCACTTCACGTCTTTGTGCTTCTCTAATGTGTGAAAATGTAATGAAAATAATATTTACTTCAGAACAAAGTTTATCACAATTGAAGGAAAAAGCATATATGGAATCACCAAGGAAGACTTTGAAGACTGACCATGGATTTCACATATATTCAATGGTGTTCTGATTTTTCTTAAGAAAAAGGAAAAAAATCACATACACACAATTCCAGGAAATGTTGCATAATGATTGTTTTTTTTTAATTTAAAAGTCAGACCCACTTAAAGATGTTTTTCAAAAACTTTTAAAGTTTTGGCAGTTCTAAAATTTGCTTAGTATGCCTTTGGGTCTCCTGGTCAAATTATTTTTTCCTCTCAGAGAATTTGATGACTTGATCATTAAAACTAAAAGCAGATTTAATACATTAGTAAGCTATGAGTCAAGACGGAAAAAGCCAGAAAACTATTTGCTTCTATGACTTACCCATTTGGTCAGTTTAAAAAAGCCATATTCAATATTATAAGCTGTGGCTTTTTATTGTATTGTGATTACATGTATATATGGTTGGATACGTGAGTTTGCCATTATAACTGTTCTCAAGTGTACCATTCAGTGACATTAATATTCCCCATATAGTCCTACCATCATCATCATTTCCAAAAGCATTTCATCACTCCAAACAGAAATGCTTTCAATAATAACTCACATTATGTCCTCCCTCAAACCCCCAGTAGCCAATAATGAACTGTTTTCGCTATGCATTCAGCTATTCTGGATATTTCATATCAGTAGAATTATACAATGTTGATCTGACTTACTTTACTCAGCATGAGGTTTTCGGGATTCATTAATGCCATAGCTGAATAATATTCTAGTATATGGATATACCCACCACCTCCCTGTCAAGTTGTAGCATTGTAATGGCTTATGTGTTACTGTGATTTGGGAAGCTATGTTGTTGCTATTTTAAATACCAGTAGGGTCACCCAACGCAAACAGGTTTCAGCAGTTCTTCCTGACTAACAACAGAGTAGGAAGAAGGAGGAGACTGTCTCTTCAAAGAGATTATCCACTAAAAACCTTATGAATAACATTGAAACATTATCAGATACTGAAAATCTGTGAATCGAAGCAGAACATTATGAGAGATAGTGCTCTAAAATGAACCCTCAGGTCAGAGGGTATTTAGAACATGACAGAGGAAGGGCTGTCTTATCAGAGTAGCGTCTACCACATGGACTGGGCTGGAGTAAAGCCTGCAGGGACAAAGCTTCCTTTGTTGATGGACCACAGCTCCACATGAGAGGAAACAGCTGCAAACTGTTGCTTTTATCAAGTCTTATCAAACTGCTTCATATATCAATTAATAATGAAAACTTGGAATGTATAAAATATGAATGTAGGAAAATTGGAAATCATCAAAAATGAAATGGAATACACAAAGATCAATGTTCTAGGTAGTGGTGACCTGAAATGGCTGGATAGTGGTCATTCTGATGTTTTAAAAAATCATAGGATTTACTATTCTGGGCATGACAGATTCAAAAGGAATGGCATGGCATTCATGGTCAAAAAAGACATTTCAAGATCTATCTTGAACTACAGTGCTGTCTGTGATAGGAAATATCCACATACTAGGAAACCAAATCAACACAACTATTATTCACATTATGATGCAAAATTGGAGAATTCCACCAAGGTTCCTAGTCTGAAATGGATCAAACATGCAATCAAGAGGCATTGATAATCATTGACACTTGGAATGTAAAAGTTGGAAACAAAGAGGAGGGAATAGTAGTTGGAAAATATGGCTTTGGAGACAGAAACAAAGTTGGAGATTGCAAGAACCAATGGTCCTGAAGACAGAAGTCTGCACTGAAAGCAGTAGCAAAAACCAAGGCACCAGCAATGCATGGAATACCAGTTGAATTGTTTCAACCAGCTGATGAAGTCCTAAAATCACTGTCACCTATGTCAAGAAATTTGGAAGAGAGCTATCTGTCTGTGTGCTTTGCTCTTGTTACTAGTGTTAAAAATCCATTGTCAAAAACAAGATCTTAGAGCTTAATTCTTATGATTTCTTCTAAGAGTTATATGACTTAAGTTCTTATAGTTAGGTTTTTGATCTAGTTAGAGTTCATTTTCATATACGATGTGAGATTTAAATTCAGCTTTATTCTTTTGCGTGTGGAGAGCCAGTTATCTCAGTACCACTTATTGAGACTTTTCCTTCCCTATTGAATGTACTTGGCACACTTGTCCAAAAATCAATTGGTCATACATATATATGACCTGTGCATTTTAATATGATTTTTAAAAATTATGACTTGAGTGAAAGTTTACATGTAAGTTAGTTTTTCATTCACAAATTCATACACATTTAAATCTATTGTTTGCCATCTGATGTGTTTTTGTTGATAGATTTTTATCCAGACTTTGCAGAATCAATAAGCCTTTTTTTTTCATGATCTCTATGAATTTAAACATTATAACTTTTACTGCTTTTAACATTGCCTTCAGGGAAATTTTTAAAGTAATTTTTCTCATCATCTTGTTGACTTGATATAACATAAACTTGAGGCTCAATTATAAACAAATGGAAGAGAACAGGAAGCCTGCTTCTGAACAAAATAGAATTACAATCTTCTTCATAATAACAGTTTTTAGTTATTTATGAGCCTATAATTTGGTGATTAACCCAAGTGGTTCTGAATGAATGTAGGAGGGAGTCTGCAGCATACGAGTCGGATTGGATAAGTCACTTTAGGAAGTATGAAATGGAGAATAACAGCTGGTCTGAAATTGAAGCTGCACTTTGAGATGGGAGATATAGTGAGGAAATGACCCAGCTCTAAGTGCTGACTAAAGGAAGGGGCACGCATGGGATGTAGCAATATTAGTTCTCAGTTGGGGAAGTTAAGGATCAGCAGGGCGCCCACAAAATTTTCTTGAAGAGTTCCTATTGCGTAAAACACAACAATGGGGAATCTTTGGAAGGTACTAGAAATACTTCCATGAATTAATGTAGGAGGAAGTCTCTGCAGCATATGACGAGGGCTGGATAAGTCATTTAAAAAGTAAGAAATAGAAAGCAAAACCTAACCTGAAACTGGAATCCTTGGAAGACACTGGAAATAGTTCTCTGTTCAGGTGTTTAGACTGTCCAAATCAGAAAGACCAGTCAACAAGATGAGCAGTCGACAAGATGTCCCAACCAGTGGAGTGGGACACAGATCAAGATTCTAGGGATTGGGAAGGAGGTTGGTTAGAATAAGCAAGACTTTAACCTTGCAGGTGTTAGAACAGAAACTTAGAAACTTGCACAAAGGCCCATTTATTAGAAAGGAGGCACATGGCAGAATTGCATAGAAATCCAATTTTTAGAATTGGGTCATAACATCTAAGCCAGACCATTAACAACAATGATTGGAAGTTCACAGACTAAGAGGCTAGGGATGGTTCACCATTTCATATCACATGCCATGTATTGCCCAGAGATTGGTACCAGTATGAACATATCAACAGAAAGAACACTGCTGAATGGCTCTAGAAATAGGAGGGGACAACTAGATACAGGAATCAGTCTGCATCTGACCAGTATTCCATCACAGTCTTCCAGAAAATCTGGGAATTCACACTTAGGGGTTGTGGCACTTAACCACTTCAAGTCAAAGAAAATATAATTTTAACCAAAGATGAAAGGGAAAGAAAAGTAGAGAGATTTTGGGGGAATATGTTATATGAGATGTGTTGTATAATGATGCGCTTGCTCTTGTATTTCAGGGTTGGCTTGAAGGCTGCGTGAGTCTGCTCAGAAATGGTGCCAAGCACAACATCCCTGATAAAAATGGTCGTCTGCCATTGCATGCTGCCACTGCTGAGCCTGATGTGAGGTAAGTAGGCAAGTTGGCACAGCACTCAGGTTGGCAGGGACTCAACTTACATTAGAGGGTCATTCAATCCATCCCTTTGTGGCTAATAAAAATGAAATCCATATCTAAGTAAATAAAAATATCTTGGAATAGTTTTAATCTCTAGTCTCATTCCCCTACTAAAGAAGCAAAACCCCTTCTTTCTTTGTCCTTCGTTTAAAGAGACTGTTATTTGTCATCAAGTCATACATGCATTCATTCAATTCATTAGTCATTATTGATTTAATAAATTTTGCTTTTTGTATACTTTTGTTATATCGAATGCTTATTACACACTGTTCTAGGCCCTAGGAGTTCCCTAGAAACCAAGACATAATATCTGACCTTATAAAGTTTAGATTCTAGTGAAGCCACTAAGCAGCATATTAGAAAACAATACTCAAGCAAGACAATTTCAGGTAGTTATCTTCTCTAGGAAGAACATCAAACTGAGTATAGGAGCAAAGACCGAACAGAATGATTAATGCCTAAACCCAGGGTCATTCCAACATGTATTTATGGGTTAGGAAAAGGAAAATAACCAAAGGTGGAGGGCAGGGACTCACTGCCATCGAGTTGATTCCAATTCATAGTGACCTTATAGAACAGAGTAGAACCGCCCATATGGGTTTCCATGGCAATGAATCTTTACAGGAGCAGAGAGCCTCAAACTGCTGACCTTGCAGTTAGTAGCCCAACACATAGCCCACTAAGCCACCAGGGCTCCAAGAGAAGGAAAAGAACCTAAGACAGAGAGAGACTAGTGGAAGAGAGAGGAAAGCAAGAGTATGATTCGGAAACCATGTGAAGAAATATATCAAATAAACTGATAAAGAGCACATTTTAAAAATCACTCTTGATGTTAACCTTGATTACCTGGATGAAGTCATGTTTGTTTGTTTTTAAATCATTTTATTGGGGGTTCATACTGCTCTTATCATAATACATACATTGGGTCAAGCACATTTGTGTATTTGTTGCCATCATCACTTTCAAAACATTTTCTTAATGCTTGAGCCCTTGGTATCAGCTCCTCATTTTCCCCCTCCCTCCCTTACAAACTCTTGATAATTTATAAATTATGATTTTTTTCATGTCTTACACTAACCAATGTTTCCTTCACCCACTCTTCTGTTGTCTGTCCCCCTGGGAGGGGGTTATATGTAGATCATTGTGATCGGTTCCCCCTGCTCCCCCACCTTCCCTTTATGCTACTGGTGTCACTACTCTCATTGCTGGTCCTGAGGGGTTTATCTGTCCTGGATTCCCTGGGTTTCCAGCTCTTATCTGTACCTGTGTGTATTCTCTGGTCTAGCCAGATCTATAAGGTAGAATTGGGGTCATAGAGAGGAAAGTTGTATGTTCCATCAGTGCTACACTGCACCCTGACTGGCTCATCTCTTCTGTCAAGTATAATGCCATCTTTGCCATTCCGCCACATCTAAATGGTCTCAATCTTTATACTTTTTATTAAAACAAAGGCTTTTTAATGTGAGCTAACTGAAAGTTTACAGAACAGATTGCCATCTTTGTATTCAACAATTTATCAAACCTTCCAATGGCTTGCTCTGTTCCCATCCTGGTTTTGCCCATCTCCCTCTTGTTAGATATTGTCTTTTCCTTCACCCAAGGGAACACCTGTCTACCTGTTAGCCTGTGACTTTCCCTTCTCTGCCTGCCTCCTCCTTGAGTAATCATCAAATCTGATTGTTTTATTATTTTTTTAGTATGAAAGCCTTTTCTTAGTTTTTCGTTTTCTGTATTTTTAACGGTAGCTTCAAAAAATGTTCTTAAAGATTTTCAAAGTAGCTGCTAACAGCATTTCCACGGAGGAAAAGGCCTCTTTCTTAACCTTTGTCAACACCAAAGAGACCAGGTTTTGTGGGCCTCATCCTTTACATTTTGTGTCCATAACTAAAACGTGTAGTCTGGGAAATGTCAATGCCATAAGTTCTCAGGTTTAAATTGAAAAATTTTCTCACTTCAACGTTCTTTACGATGAAATAAAAAGGGTTAGAAAAAGAGGACCTGATACCAAGGGCTCAAATAGAAAGTAAATGTTTTGAAAATGGTGATGGCCATATATGTACAAATATGCTTGATACAATTGATATGTGGGATGTTATAAGAGCTGTAAAAGCCCCCAATAAAATAATCTTTTTTTAAAAAAAGGTTAGAGAATTTCAAGGCTATTCCCAAAGATCTCTTATCATCATTGAATTGTTCACAGAATAACAAAAAAACTCAGATTTACTCAAAGTCTAACAATACAAGAAAGTATAACAAAGAGACAGCTCACCCAGACAGCTCATTACCAATAAACATTGTAAGGAATGAGTCTCTTTTGATTAACTAGACACAAATTAATGCCCTTTTTGACAACTCACATTTAGTCACAAAATTGTTTTTTCTCTCTATGGTGATCTAAAATAAAATATACTCTTTTTTTAGGATATCATTTTATTGGGGGCTCTTATAACAATCCATACATCAATTATATCAAGCACATTTGTACATGTGTTGCCATCATCATTTTCAAAAAATTTTCTTTCTACTTGAGGGCTTGGTATCAGCTCCTCTTTTTGCCCTCCCTCCCCCACCTTCCCACTCTCATAAGCCCTTAATTAATTATAAATTATTATTATTTTCATATCTTACACTGTCCGCTGTCTCCCTTTACCCACTGCTTCTGTTTTCTGTACCCCTCGGGGTATGGGGTATGTGTTATACATCAATCACTGCAATCGGTTTCCCCTTTCTACCCCTTTCCCCCACCTTCCCCCTACCCTCATGGTATCGCTACTCCCATTATTGCTCCTGAGTAGTTTATCTGTCCTGGATTCCATGTATCAAGAGCTCTTATCTGTACCAGTGTACATGCTCCAGTCTAGCCAGATTTATAAGGTAGAACTGGGGTCATGATAGTAGGGGGCGGGGAAGAAGCATTAAAGAACTAGATGAATGTTATGTGTCTAGTCAGTGCTATACTGCATCCTGACTGGCTCATCCCTTCCTTGTGACTCTTCTGTGAGGGGATGTCCAATTGTCTACAGATGGGCTTGGGTCTCCACTCTGACCCCCTCATTCACATCTCTATGTAAAATATACTTCTTAATACTGTTTTACCTTGACTTGTTCTGCATCACTGCTCTTTTCTGCAGAGTACTCATTTAAAATTTGACATTTCTGAAGCACAGCATCCTGCTTAGTTATGATAATGACAGTTCTTGTAACAAAGCAACGAAAAGCTGTAGTGTTTTGTTGTTGTTAGGTGCCATAGAATTAGTTCCAACTCCCAGGTACCCTATATAAAATAGAAAAAACAGATATGGACCTCGTGATCATCCTACTCTATGCTGCTTGAAAGGGTTGTTACAGTCGCTGTGTCAATTTCTCTCATTAAACATCTTCCTCTTTTCACTTACCCTCCACTTTACCAAGAAGCCCTGATGACCCTGTGGGATAAGCATTGCACTACTAAAACAAAGTCGGCAGTTCAAATCCACCCACCCCACCTTGGGGAAAAAATGAGGCTACAAAGATTTATAGTCTTGTGAACTCTATAGAGTTGCTATGAGTCTGAATTGACTTTATGATGGTGGGTGGATGGATGCAAGAGATGTGGGTTTAATTTCCAGCCAATGCGAATCATGCACAGTCATCACTCATCTGTCAGTGGAGGTTTGCATATTGCTCACATGTTGACTAGGTTTCAACAGACCTTCGAGACCAAGAGGAACTAGAAAAAAAGGCTTGGTCATCTATTTCCAAAAATATCAGCCAATGAAAATCTTATGGATTGTACAACGGTCCAATCCCAACTGATCATGGGGATGGCCTAGCCTTGGGCATCACTTCATTCTATTGTCACCTGAGGGAAAGTAAGGACCAACAACAGAGTGACAGAGTGCCAGCTCAGGAATCAGACTGCATCAGTCTCCATAGCTTATTGGCCATGTTGTTCAGGCAAGTTAACCACTCCTGGGTCACCTAGAGTTCTTTTGTTCTAGAAAGCCAGGAAAACACAGTAAGTACTTCAAGAAGAAATAAATCTCCAAAGGTCTGTCTAAATAAGAT